AAATTGTGTTGTCTACACTTAATTTTGTCGGCACTTCAGTGTAAAAATTTAGAACTCATTTTTTCACTCTTTGATTGACATTATCATTATACTATATTTACCATGTACAAACTTTCAATGAGTGCATTTTGACAATTACTATTTTATTTATAAATTTACTCAATAATCATATTTTATGTAGATACTCGAACTTAATTGATTATCTTATTTCAGTATGTTATTTTATTTGTTATAAGATTAAATATTATATATTATAAGTAATTTTTACTATGTTGGTTATGCCTAAAAAATACTAAATAATTATTTGATTAGCGTCTGTTAACATATATTTTCTATTATTTACACTTATTAAAAATATATTATGGATCAATATTAATTTTTTTTGCTGACCTATTTTTAGTTAAATATCAACATTAAATAAAGTGAAGTACAGTGGAGATCCTGTAAAGTGGAGTTGAGGCATTTTTTTAGATTGTTATTGATTGATATGACAATTATTAAAATAACTGTCGTAAAATGCTTCAGTGCATATTTAAAATAAATTTAAAAACCGTAGCACAGTGTGAGCGAAGCATAGTTAGGACAAGTATAGATTATATCTGACAGTAATTAATATCATTACCATAAGAAACGCTTTGATGGAAATCAAGATAGTGTTTAATTTTAAGAAATTTGTGGATTATTCAAAAGCAAATTCTAACTCAAACAGAATTAAGAAATTGAAGAAATTAAAAAAAAATTGCAAAAAAATCATTGCCACAGGCAATGATTTTTATTGAATCGCCAAACGTTCGTTGAATTTGTCGTTTGATAAAATTAGCAATTTAAGCTGATTCAAATGTTATAATTACTTTTTTCGACTTTAAAGAAAAAAACATTGAAATCAGTTTAACTTTATATTCATATCAATTAGATTTATATAATATTCACGAATATCAGTATACTCCCCATATTAGGTACATTAAAATACAATTATCAAGAGTTTTAACACACAAAATAGCATATTTTTGAATATGATAATAATTTTCACTATTTCTCGAAATTTTTTTTTCATAGTAAAGTATACTACACAAGCTTTAATTTAATATTAAATAAAAGTGTCGATATTTCGGGAAAGTTTTCAAAAATTAAGAAAAAAGTTCAACTTTTAAGTCTTCAGTAATCTAAGTTGTCGGGATAAATTTTTTTTTTGAAGGTATTATCTAGTGATGGGCATTTTCGAATATTTTAAACTATCGAATAGTTTATTTTTGGCATAAACTATTCGAATAGACTATCGAATAGTTTTAAAAACTATTCGATTAGTTGTACCTAAAATTTTTATTAAGTATACTTAATTATAATAAGAAGATAATTAACGAATACTTATAAACCCATTATTATACAATTAATAATAATAAAAATTAGTAATGGGCATTTTCAAATATTTTAAACTATCGTATAACTATTCAAATTGTGTTTATACAACCGAATAGTTTATTTTTAGCATTAACTATCGAATATTTTTACTATTCGAATATTTTTTGAATGACTATCGAATAGTTCGAATAGTGGACAACTATCGAATAGTTCGATAGTTTCTATTCGATATTTCCCATCACTAGTATTATCTTCGACTAGATACGATTTATGATCTTTTGACGTATCGTTGAAAGAAATCAGTTGGGCGAGAGCTGAGAAAAAGTGGTAACAGACACACACAAAAAAAAAACACATCATAGTAAAATTAATTTTACCATCACATCTTCTCATCGAAGCTAAAACAATAATAGTATTAACAACGACAACTGCAAAAATGAATAGGAAACAAGCTAAGTCGGCCGTTTAGCACCAACATTGTATCCGTAACTACCACTTAGAAGATGAATTCTACGACTAGTTAAATATACATATATATATATATATAGAAGATATTACTGTTAATATTCTAAATAGCTAAAACATAANCGCTTTGATGGAAATCAAGATAGTGTTTAATTTTAAGAAATTTGTGGATTATTCAAAAGCAAATTCTAACTCAAACAGAATTAAGAAATTGAAGAAATTAAAAAAAAATTGCAAAAAAATCATTGCCACAGGCAATATCGGTCATTATTTACTTTTATTTTTATAATGTTATGTGAATAAAATTTCATTTTCCTCGCCTTTAATTTTATACCTCAGTAAAGAGTACAATTAATTTTTATATCTACTTATTCCAACATTTGGATCTAGACCACGATTAGAGATTAATATCATATTTCACAAGCTATTTTTCTTTTAGCTTATGTTTTTATTTTTACATTCTGAGTATTACAGTATTTAAAATTAAGGAAGTTCGTGTTATTATTAAATTATTTGTAAGGCAGATAATAAAACCACTCTGATTATTGGATTTTAATACAATTTTTTTAATATGTTAAATACAACCGGTAAAATTTTATAATAAGTGTATTTTCAATGTAGTACCAAAATTTTTCTGTTAATTAAACCTTGATATTTGTTCACGTAAAATAATTATGATTTATTTAATAAAAAATATGATTTAAATAACAAGTAAAAATTGTTAGCCGTAAATTAATATAGCCGTTGTTTATTTTATAACATATTTTTTCATTGTACAAAAAATAGAAATTGCTTAAATCAAACATTTTTGAAAATCAAATGGATAAAAAAAAAATATCTTTTATACTATCTTGTATATATTTTTCCTCAAAATATAATTTTATTAAATATCCGACTACTAATCTTTTTATAGAGTAGGTTAAACATAATAACATATGTATATTAGAAGACCTTTTCACTTTTAATATTAGATCATGTCCTGAAAATTCCTCACGTTTTAAAAATATATGAAATTCTCTGTAAGAATTTTTTTTTACAATACGAGAGAATGGATGTTAAATTAAATAACATGCGTGATAATGCATTCTAGTCGAATCATTTAGATTTTATTACTTTAAAAACCAGGAAAATAATTTTTAAGGGCTCTTCGAAGAATTTTTTTATTTAAGCGTATACTGTATTCATATACAGTACCTCACGTCTAAATGTCAACGTTTATAACTTTTGATCCAATTATCATTTCGTTTCATTTTTTATTTTATTTATTATTGCATTCTTAGACTTCATTAAAATCATAATTTTTATTATTTATGATTATTACTATTTTCTAAAAAAGTTGTAATTGATATGGTATGTACTGCTTGTTCGTATACTTTGCCTGTGATCTTTGTATTAAAATATTTGTAACTTGATAAATACTTGTCCGAAAATATCGCCCTATCAAAATGTTTTTCAATTTATCTTAAGAAAATGAGTGGGATGGTGTGACCGAGTCGTTAACGCGGCAGTGCTGATGCGCATTGTCTCGGGTTCGAGACTCGGTCACGGGCGTCTCCGATTGCTGACAAGTCATCGGGTAAGTGATTCGAGTGTCGTCTCTCTCTCTGGCGATGGATAAATCAACCATCCCGGAGTATACATAGTTAAGAAACTTCTTTTTAGAGAAGGCTGTAATCACCCTCAACGGGCCGTAAAAGGAAAAAAGAACTTAAGAAAATGTAGTTATATAAGGAATGAACATAAAAAAATACCTTTTGATTTATAAATTTAAATTTTGAAATTTTTATATCAAATTTATTCATTTTGAAAACTTTTATTTTAAACTGTATACAATTTTACCAGTATTTAGACAATATTATGCATAAAACTTCTAGAATTTATCATTGATTGGATATAAAATTAAATATTAAATTGTTTGTTAAATAAAATAAAAAATTTATCTATTTGCATAGGAACATTGACGAGCATTGCAAAACAATTTAAAATAAATATGACGTATAATTTTTCAAAACAATATAATTTAATTTATAGGTAGAAATAAAAAGACTGTTAAATTTGTTTAGGTTTGCTTATTACCATTTTAATAGTTGTACAGGGTTATTTTTTAACGTGAAATTTCCTTGAAATATAAATAATGTTAAGAAAATTATTTTTTTATTTCATATATTTCTGGATTTAGCTTTTTGATTTTTCAGAGTATACTGGATAGATCTGCATTTAAAATAAATAACGGACCAACCTCCCCAACACTTATTAATCGTTTTACACTTATTGATTTTATTTTTTACAGTAATAATGTTACTTTTCTATTGTTTAGGAATAAAATTAATGTTATATAACTGTGGTGTTACATTTTATTCAATTAAACAAGTAATATTTTTTACCCAAATAAGTTGAAGTCTCAAATTTTATTAATAATTGACATTTGGTTTATTAGAGTTATCTACTACTTTGTAATTTGTATAATTATTTTTAATAAAATTTACAAAATGTTAATTTAGATTAAGTTTTCATTGAAACAATATTATGTAAACATTTTAACATCTATTTAAAAAAAAAACCTAAAAAAATGTTGTGCTTTNGTTTTCATTGAAACAATATTATGTAAACATTTTAACATCTATTTAAAAAAAAACCTAAAAAAATGTTGTGCTTTGTGTTTTAAAGTGACATAAAAATTTATTTTAGGTTTATAAAAGGAATTTAAAAAAAAAAAAAACAATTTACTAGCTTAAAAACTAATTTAACGTGATTTTATTATCTTTATCTACAAGATTAATATGTAATAAAACACAAGCATTTATTTAATAGCTGTTGATAAATAAATTAGAAAATACATATTAGGAATTATAATTTTTTTATGTTGTTAAGTTATGATTTGTGTCATACATTTTTCATATGTATTGAACAATTTAATTTATTTTGTGTATTAACGGTTTTTTTATTTACTAATTATTAGCATAATTTTTTTACTACGTATTTCTTATGAAACAATTGCTAAATTTAATATTACGTTCAAACCGTTTAAATGTTGGCATTTCCATACAAATGTGACGCATTGTATGTCATTAATAATATAAGTAGAATAATTTATAAAATATTTTTAGTTATACAAGTACGTAACATAATCTTATAGTACTTGGAACCTACTTAATGAAGAAGTTTTATGTAATATTTTGAATTTTAAACTTAAAATTAAAAAATTAAACTAAATTAAATTAAAATTTTAGTTGTTTTAAATTTAAATTAATAAAAAATGTATTTAAAATTATTTTTTCTACTTTTCGTATCAATACCTTTTATATATTGCAAAAAAGATGCATTAAGTTTACATTGCTTTTTTTCAAAATATATATTAAAATTTTTTGAACTTAATGAAAAACTTTTTATCCTAAATCGAATAAGTAATGCTAAAAGTGATTATGATATAGATGATTTAAAGTATTATGGAACCAACCTTCAAAGTCAAGGGGATATTATAATGGCTATGCTTGATGAATTGAGAGAAAAAAAATATAATGAGCTGCCAGATGATCTAATGATGGTCAATTTGTACTTAAACAATGTAACTGGAAATATTAATCTTTATACAGTAGACAAATCCAATGAAGGAAGAGAACTAGTAACTGATGCGTTAAGACTAAGACTGGGCTTTAAGACGTATTACAAAATGATAACAAATAAACTGTTAAATTTTACTAAAAGCTTGCATTGTAAATATGGATTATGGTTCGATAAAGTAGATCCTAAATTTAAAAGATTAAAAATAAATATTGATAAAAAGAGTCAAGTAAATTATGATGCGTCCAGAATGCGCGAATTTTTGGAAAATGTAAAAAATAATTCAAGAGATGTATTTAATCATACTTTTATGAGAAATAAATATACAGATTATCATCCTAAAAACTTATTACTATACAATTTGATGGAACCTTATAGTAAATATTCTAAAAGATCTATTCGAAACGATGGACTAAATATAATGAGGTTCGTTAAAGTACATTCCATTGCAAATTATGAAAGTAAACATGAAACAAAAATTATTAATTTATATGAAAGAGTTCTTTTAACTTTTAATGTTCAACATATTAAGTCTTATCAACAGCAAGTACTAGCTGCTACAATGTACCCGGTTTTTATGTGCATAAGTAAATACATTAATATGTTTAACAAATTTTATTCTACGGGATATACAATTTTTTGCTATCCAAAAGATATTATTGATATTGGATCTTCATTGGTAACAATCACTCAAACATTAAGAGACATTAATTTGTATCCCTACGAAATTAATCAATACTTGAGTCAATTAATTTGTGATCTTGGAATTATTGTAATATATCCAAGTAGTAAAATGTGGCCTAGTTCTTTTAACTATAAAAATAAGGTAATAACTATATTAAACAAGTTATCGAAACCAATGTTGACAAATAGAATATTGTTTAACATAAAAGATTACACATTGAATGACAGCGGAGCTCACAGTTGTCTGGTTTTGATTGACGAAATTAAAATTGAAATAAAATCAATAACAAATTATTTAAAAAAATTAAAAAGAAAAAGATATCTATTTTTGGTTACCCAAGAAATTATTAACCATAATGATATGTTCAAAAATATTCCTATTGATGTATTTAACGTACAAGTTAATGGTAGGTAAAGAATAATTAATATGTAGAGATATTATTTAAAAAAAAAATACTATTTTATTAGCAATTAATTCAATACTGAGTCTTATAAAATCCTCGTTAATACACAGAGAATATGAATTATTTACAGAAAAATGAAATTTGATAATTATAATAACTTAATTTTGTATTTTTATCAGAATTTCTAATTACATTTACTGTGTGGTAAACCATAGTTTAACATTTTGTACGCCTGAATTACTAATTCCTAAAATTGTTCATATCTTGTTGTTTTTCAATTGTGCACTAACCTCTTAGTGTAGATTGCTCTTAAGTAATTTTTTATGAGCTGAAATACCAAATGTAAATTATAATTATTGTTATCACTAAAAATAAACAATACGGCAAATTTTTAGTGTTGATTTAAAATTACTTACAATTTCTTGAAATTCAGAAGCTGTAGTTTTTGTCTTAGACATTACCTTGTCGATATTTCTAAGCAATAAGTATAATTATACATCATAATGTAAACATTTTATGGCACATCTTTACATAGCACGTTATTGATTTAAAATTTAAAATTTTATGATTTTTACGTAACAAATTTTTCAAATATTACCCATATAAAACTTATAAAACTTTGTTTTATTAGTATTGAAATTAAAAATGACTTTTTGGATATTGAAATATAAAATATTATATTATGTCTATTATAGAAAATACAAAATAAAATACAGTTTTATAAAAATAATAATACATCACTGTTTTAGGAACTATTTATTTTAGCGAGCATACATCTAAACTTAAGAATAATATATCAAATAGACTATCTAAATTTTTTAATCAAACTGAAGATTACAATAATAAAGAACGCAATAAAAATAATAAAAATATTCAAAATGTATTAGAATCTAACGAAAACATTAATATTACAGCTGAAGAGAGTCATAATTATAACGAAATTACAGAAAATCATGAAACAATAAACTCTCAAAATAATTATTTACAAAATGTTCATTTGGATAACAATGAAATTGCCAAAAATAATGAAATTGAAGAAATCAATAAAAATAATACAAATATTCAAAATGTATTAGAATCTAACGAAAACATTAATATTACAGCTGAAGAGAGTCATAATTATAACGAAATTACAGAAAATCATGAAACAATAAACTCTCAAAATAATTATTTACAAAATGTTCATTTGGATAACAATGAAATTGCCAAAAATAATGAAAATGAAGAAATCAATAAAAATAATACAAATATTCAAAATGTATTAGAATCTAACGAAAACATTAATATTACAGCTGAAGAGAGTCATAATTATAACGAAATTACAGAAAATCATGAAACAATAAACTCTCAAAATAATTATTTACAAAATGTTCATTTGGATAACAATGAAATTGCCAAAAATAATAAAATTGAACAACTCAATAAAAATAATACAAATATTCAAAATGTATTAGAATCTAACGAAAACATTAATATTACAGCTGAAGAGAGTCATAATTATAACGAAATTACAGAAAATCATGAAACAATAAACTCTCAAAATAATTATTTACAAAATGTTCATTTGGATAACAATGAAATTGCCAAAAATGATGAAATTGAAGAAATCAATAAAAATAATACAAATATTCAAAATGTATTAGAATCTAACGAAAACATTAATATTACAGCTGAAGAGAGTCATAATTATAACGAAATTACAGAAAAACATGAAAAAATAAACTCTCAAAATAATTATTTACAAAATGTTCATTTGGATAACAATGAAATTGCCAAAAATGATGAAATTGAACAACTCAATAAAAATAATACAACTATTCAAAATGTATTAGAATCTAACGAAAACGTTAATATTACAGCTGAAGAGAGTCATAATTATAACGAAATTACAGAAAAACATGAAAAAATAAACTCTCAAAATAATTATTTATCATTGTCTGGAGAAAGTGAAAAATATAGTCCAATATATTCTGTAGATCACGCAGAAAAAACTCATCTTAATAATACGATAAATAATCTTCCAAATTCAAAATACAATTATCTATTGTTAGCAAATAATTCCAAGTCTGATTTAAATATATTTAAAGAAAAATATGATAAAATTGTAGTAGAACTAAATAACATTTACCAACAACTAAATAACATAAAATCTTCAGATAATAATTCAATTGTTAAACCTTCTTCAATTTTAAATTATACTCATAAATGTACACCAAATTATTTATATGATATTTATAATGAAAACAATGTAGAAGACGATGAATCAGGACAAAATTATTTTAAAAATCAATTACAAGTAGATGATAATTTCTCACAAAAACATCAATTGGGTTATTATGAAACATCAAATAATTCTGCAGATATTGGTAAAGATAATATTACTAATATAAATAATTCAATGGAAAATAATAGTGTATTATTTTCACCCCAACGAAGTGAGAACAATTATATTAACGAAAATGGAGAAAAAAAAGCAGAACAATTTTATCATACAAACTTGTCATTTGCTGAAAATAGCCCATCAAATAATTTACAAATAAATTCTCATAAGCAACAAAACGTTGATGGAAATGAGAGTTCAAATAATTCAAGCAAAAAAATATTAGATTATATTATTGAAAACGGTGATAAAAACATAGTAGAGACGAATTTTATTACAAATCAATTGAATATAAATGAAAACTTTAATAACTATTCAAGTATTGAAAATAAAATTTCTTTTGATGTAGTGAGTAAATTTGAAAATAATTATATTGATAAAAATAATCGACTAATTATTAACAATGATCATATTACATCAAACAATCCAAATAAAAGTATTAATGGAAACCATTCCGAAAAAGACAAATTGACATTGGTGGATAAAAATATTGTATTTATACAAAAATCTGATGAAACTCAGGAAGCTGGCATAATGTCACATAACAGAGTGGATCAAATCAATTCTCCAAACGATAAAATAAATATACATTCAAAATATTTTCACAAAAATAATTTTGAAATCAAAGGAAATTATTTAAAGAAAGGTAAGTGAAATTAATTAATAGTTTAAATTTTGAAAAGTACTAAAATACATTACTATTGAATTTTATACTATTCAGTTTATGAATTTATGGTTTTTAGTTCCAATGCGAAGCGAGAAGGTATTAATTTGCTACGATGTTTCTATTTTTATTCTTTTTTATCTTTTTTTTTGGATCTGTACCACTTATTCTTAGCTCTCACTAGATCGATTTTGATAAACAGCACGTAAAAAGAATTGCATTAGTCGAATACATTACCTTTAAAAATTAACAAATTTTCAATCGTTCCCTGTGAATTAACCAAAAAGAAGAAGAAAAATTAAAAATTATATAATTTTTTTTTGTTTTGTTTATTTTAAAATACCTTACAAGGGTTTGCCATACTAATGAGTCCGCCAATTTTAAAAAATTACATGAATCTAACTTATATTAAATATAAGTTTAAACTTACATTGATTATTTTGCCTCCTCAAAGTTAAGAAAAAAAAGCTTTAAATTTTTGAACTAGTTTAAATTGTCATTTTTAGCTATAAATTCATATAATGCTCGATGATTGCAGTCTTCTACGGTCGGGGTACAAAGTTCGATTCTCATACGTCGAAATAACTTTTTTGCATTTTATTCTTAATTCTTTTTAAAGTAGAAATAAAATTGAAAGTTCGTTTGATTTTTATCTCATTTAGATTGTATAACTTCAATGAATATCAAGGACACTGTACCATCACTGTAGTCTCCTTTTGAGAAAAGGAATTTCTTATTTATATTAAAATATTTCACTATATGGTTTTTTTTGTATCTGACATTCATTTTTTTCAGCCCTAACTTGACCAATTTTTTTAAACAATACGTCAAATGATCACAACTAGTGTCTTGTTAAATTTATTACCCTCTTTGTTTTTGAAATAATCCACCAATTTCTCTAAATGGAATACTATCTATAGATTTGCATTGAAGTGTTTGCTTTTAATTTGCTTTTAATCACTGTCAAATATCTTCTAAACTTGTGTCACTATGCCACGACCCTAGTGAGCTACAGTTTTATCTTCGTTGCGAAGCTGAGAAGCTGTCAATTTGACTATGATTTATTTTATTAGCTTCGATGCGAAGCTGAAAAGGTATTAATTTTAATATGATGTGTTTTTTTTATTTATTTTTTGTGTCTGTGAACGCTCAATCTCAGCTCTCACTGAACCGATTTTGATGAACAATATATCAAAAAATCACAAATCGTATCTAGTCAAAGACATAACCCTCAAAATTGAAAAAAGTTCCCTCGTTTTCCGTAAACGGGGGAAATCCCCCAAAAAATTACAAATTTAAAAATCGCTAATTTTTTCAATTTTTTCAATTTTTTTTACTAAAAACTGCCATAACTTTTTTAAAAATGACCGAATCAATATAATTTTTTTTTTTATAGATACTTTAGATATTTACTTATCATTTTATATATTTTTGTGAACATTTGACTCTTTAACAGCCCACAGAAAGGGTTTTAAAATGGTAACTTTTTTACAAAAAATTAACTTTTTCAACTTAAATTTTGAAAATGTTCCGGAAAGACTGACACTTTTATTTATATCTTAAATTAAATCTAATGAAATATACTTTAATTTGAAAAAAAAAATTTGACCTGTGGGCTTGTCTTCGTGGTGAATACTGACATTAAAGTTAAAGAAGAACTTATGATTTCCGTGAAAAAATTCTCGAGTTTATATGTTATATTATTAAATTTATATTGCTATAACTTTTGGAGAAATGTATGGATCAATATTATTATTTTTTTATAAATAATTTGTATATACCCCTTTCATCTGATACATTTTTTTTGTAAATCGTATGATACCCCTTTATACAAGGGGGGTCAAAACTTTAAACATACGTATTGAAACTAGGACTTTTTCAATTTAATTTTTGAAAGAATTCCGGAAATACTGACACTTTTATATATATCTAAAATTAAAGCTTATGTAATATACTTTAATTTGAAAAAAAAAATTTGATCTCTGGATTTGTCTTCATTGTAAAAATGACTACCGTATTCAAAAATTTGCTATTTATGTGTTAAAGTTCTGGGTTTTGTATTTTATTTTATTTTAAAATACCAGACTAGGAGAGTATAGATTTTCATAAATATTATATAAATAAAAAATTAATACAGCATAGAAAGTTAAACTTATTTAAATTTTTTTGCTTATAGAAGTCGAGAAAATTTAAACTAGCCTAAATAGCTAATTTTTCACCAACGTACGGTTGCCTATTCGGTAAAACTTATGTTTTACACGCTTGGGTACACGGTTCCAACCCGCGTATGGCAATGAATTTTTTGCATTTTTTCTTAATTCTTTTTAAGTTAGAATAAATTTTATACTGCTTTGATTTTAATCTCATTTAGATTCAATAACTTCAATAAAGATCAAGGATCCCATCACTGTAGTCGCCACTCGCGAGAAGAAATTATTTATTCATATTAAAATTATTTTACTATATTTTAAGTTTTAGTTTCGATGCAAAGCTGAGAAGATATTTCTTTATGACTATCATTTATTTTCTCTGCTCTAACTTGACCTACTTTTTTCAACGATACGTCAAATGACTATAATTCGTATCTAGTTGAAGATATTACCTTCAAAAATTGAAAAAAAAATTCCAATTTATCAATTAAATAGCTATTTGTCCCATGTTCTCCATACAGACAATTAAAATCATTCATTTTTAATGTTTTCAAAGTATTTATTGACGAATTAAGTTTGATATGATAATTTAATATGATTGGTTTCAACTATAAAATTAAATAATTTTATTTGTAATTTAATAATTTTTTTACTCTGTTTGTGTGTGCTACTACTAGACTATAATATTACAAATTTTTTGGTAACATATTGTTATATAAATCATTTCTAAAAAAAATGATTGTTAGTTTCTCCTGAATTAATAATAGATTTTTACAATTATAATCAAATTTTATTATACGCTCAATCGAGTAAATATTTTTAACAACTTTGTTTTGATTGGTTCATTTAGTTAAAGTAAATCATTAAAATCAATTAAAGTCTTTACCTATCATTTTTTTTTTTTTATAAATCTAACCCTTTACATGCCCATAAGAGGGATTCAATATGATAACTTCTTTTTTTTTCGGTTAAAGTAAATTATTAAAATTAATTCAGTTCTGGATATTTCAATTGTAGAATCTCTTTAAATACCAAAAGTTACTTAGAAATGATTTCTATGATTTCTATTTAAGACTTCTATTACGATAAAAATGCAAAAAAATAATGAGTTTTTGTGATAAAAAATACAGTANCACCAATTTCTCTAAATGAAACACTATCTACAGATTTGCATCGAAGTGTTTCTTATGATAGTGATTTTAATCACTGTCAAATACCATCTATACTTGTCCCATCTATGCCTCGTCTACACTGTGCCTCGACCCCACTGTGCTACCGTTTTTTTTTTACTTAAAACTGCCATAACTTTTATTTTTGCGCCTGTTACCACTTTTTCTTAGCTCTCACCGAACCAATTTTTTTCAACGATACGTCAAAATGTTACAAATTTTATCTAGTCAAAGACATTATCCTCAAAAATTGAAAAAATTTTCCTTGTTCCCNAAATTTCCTGACTGCATATTAATCTTAAAAATAGCATTGTTTTAATTCTCATAAAATTTTCTATTTAATGATGTCAATTTGAATCTTGTAATTGAGCTATAAGTTATAGTAACATATACAATTTTTTTATTATAAACTTTCACAAAACTTTATCAAAAATTGTTCATCAACCCAACCAAAAAAATAGGTTAAAAATGAAAATTTGGACTGATTATTTTTAACATATTAAAAATCAAATCAGTAATAATTTGAAAACAAATTTTTTTTATTTTAATTATTATTTTATATGTAATTAGTAATAATATAACAAATTAGAAAAAGATAGAAAAAGTATAATTGCAGATTTGAAAACAACGCGAAAAGTTGATTTAGAAAAGTATATTTTTGCTTCTGATGAAAGTTCATTATAGTCCAGTGCATTTATTTATAGTAACAAACAGTTTTTATTGAAAATTATTGTATCAAGCTCTTTAAATTTTTATACACTTAAAAGTAAAGCAAAATATAACTTCTTTATTATTTTTATAATTTCTCCGTTTAAATTACAATATTAAATATCAATTTCATACTAAATTTAATAATTATAATTAGTATATATTCA